AAGCCTCTCTCCAACCTGATGGACAAGTCCCTGAATAAGGATGATTCCTTCGAACTGGCAAACATCTGTTCTAATAAGTTTGATTCTCCCCAGAAACCTTCCATTGAGGAAATTCTCAAGTCCTCAGTGGCCACCCAGGAGTCTGATGTGGAAGAAGACCTATTGGGACTGTGCTCTGCCAATTTCAGCACCCAGAACATCATCCAAACTGGTGAAGAAACTATAAAGGAAGATGAAGACAGCGATTTTGAAGAGAGCATTTTGAACAAAAAGAAACTAAAGCAGAGAAAGCTCTTCCAGTATAGTGATGAGGAGGAGGAAGATGGTGATAAAGAAGAGGAAGAAATTGATGAAGAGGAGGATGAAAATGAAGAGGAAGAACAGGAGTTTGATGAGGAAGTGGTGATCAATGAGGAAGAGGAACTTTTAGCACCAGCTAACAGCTTTTTTGAACAGGAGGCCGAGTTGTCGGGAAGTGAAGCCAGCAGTGATGAGAATGAGGAAGATGAGGATGGTTATGATGCAGCCCTCATCGATGACACAGAGAAGTTCTCCGAGACTCATCTACAGAAGCAAATTGAGAAACTCCACAGGAAGCAGCTGAGAGATGAGGAGGAGCAAGAGCTGAGATTGCTCAAGGAACGGCTCATTGAGGACAGTGACCTATACAGCGATGGACCTGGGAGAAAGAGACAGTTCCGATGGAGCACCCTACCTCCAGCCATGTTGAATGGCCAGGATCCCCGTGAAGAAGACAAAAGTGATGGCGAGGAACCTCAAGAAGATGAATCCTGGAGGATCCAGCGGTATGAGAGAGAGAAATGGCTCAGGGAGAAAAGAGAAAACGAAAACGAAGAAGAACAAATGTCAGATAACTCCCCATTCCTCAAAATCAACCTCACCAACAAGCGACAGATTAAACTGGGACCTCAAGGAAATAATATTCAGAAAGCAGCCAGTGCAGCAACAAGACCTGGATCCTTCCTAGCGCGTGGCAAAGACTTCCTGTGCAGACTGGCAGACAAGATGAAGACTGAATCAAAGAACCAAGATGTGAGTGGACAGAGATCAACCAAGAGTTTTGTCTTCAGACCTGTCTCTCCTCCCAAAAACCCAACCTCTACCAAACCCATCCCCCATAAACGACCCCTCATCAACCAACCTACCAAACAAGAAACCAAGAAATGTAAGAGTATCTTTGATATCTTGGAAAAATGTTAAGACTTTCAACCTCAATCATTTCACAATGTAAATAATAAATTTGTAATATATTTGTCCTTATATGTCCAATTTTATCATTAAAATATTATTTTTTAAAATGGAAAATGGTTGTATACTTTTCTCTGTAATGTTTTTTGTTGAGGTATTTTTATTTATTTAATGGATGAATGTGTGTATATTAAAATTATCATATTACTGAGCACTTTTCTATTATCTCTGGTGTGTTAAAATATTCAACAACTTCATTTATTATTTGGGGGGTCGGTGAAAGGCTGGTTAAACTGTTTAGTTTTTGACCACTACGATCCGGGTTCGAATCCCGCATTGGACACTTTTTTCTGTTAAAAAAAAAAAAAAAAATGCTCCAGTGGCCCCCCGATTCTTGCAAAAGTCCAACCCCACCAGCGAGTGCAAGTAACCAAACGGGGCTCTGGCACATTTGTAAGTGCAAAGTCGAACTGCTTTTCACATGTGTAGACATGTGGTGCGCTTACAGTAAAAAAGCAGTCGCTAACTACCCACCATGATTATCATGGCCTGTACCACGTGTACTAGGGATAAGCAAAAAAAAAAAAATTATTATTTGAGTCAAAAGTCAATCCATCAAATAAGTTTATATAAAAAGGGGATGTATCTGGATCTGTAAAGATAAAAAAAAAAAAAATTATCAAAATATTTCAAGAGATTGCTCCCTCTTTATCAATTTGTAAATTAAGTTTACTGTGCACTAAATTGATAGAGAGGGAGAAATCTCTCGAAATTTTTTGAGAAAAAATTGTTTGTTTTTTTTCCTTTACAGATCCAGGTACTTCCTCTTTTTATGTAAATTCATTTATTTTTGTCAATGTCTTTCACATATATCACCAAATATTATATCTACAGACCTCTTACTGCGAAGTTAATTCAATAACTTATTTAATTACAGTAAGGTCTGTAGAGATGATATTTGATGATATATGTGAAACACATTGACAAAAATAATTATTGAATTATAATGATAGATGGCAATTAAATTTATCAAAATAATTTTTATATAATGGTGGCAAATAATGTGAGAAAAAAGTAATCTTAAAATAATGCATTATAAACACAAGGTAATAAGACCAAATAAATAAATCATGTGTGATGTTTCGGTAACGTTGTTATTGAAACGTCACACATGATTTATTTATTTGGTCTTATTACCTTGTGTTTATAATCCAAATTGTGCCTTAACAATGCATTATGTTATCACCCCAGCAAAAAATTAATGTATTTAAATATATAAGGATTAAAAGATTACATGAGGAGCTTCTTTTTAGATTTATTGCGAGCTTTCGAACCTTCCGGTTCTTCAACAGGCATGGATAGCATGGATATACTTAACCTTAGTTAGTATATCCATGCCCGTTGAAGAACCGGAAGGTTCGAAAGCTCGCAATAAATCTAAAAAGAAGATCCTCATGTAATCTTTTAATCCTTATATATTTAAACTAAATTCTACTGAGTTAATGTAACCGAAAAAATTAATGAGGCACAAAACCTATTTTAGAAATTTCAGACAAAAGCTGACAACCTGTATACCATGGTTTCAGGCTATGGCCCTCATCAGATAGCCTCTCATTCATAACATCCTATAGGGGGTCGGTGGAAGGCTGGTTGAACCGTTTGGTTTTCGACCACTAGGACCCGGGTTCGATTCCCGCATTGGGCACTTTTTTCTGTTAAAAAAAAAAAAAATGCTCCAATGGCCCCCGATTCTTGCAAAAGTCCAACCCCACCAGCGAGTGCAAGTAACTAAACGGGGCTCTGGCATTTGTAAGTGCAAAGTCGAACTGCTTTTCACATGTGTAGACATGTGGTGCGCTTACAGTAAAAAGCAGTCACTAACTACCCACCATGATTATCATGGCCTGTACCACGTGTACTAGGGATAAGCAAAAAAAAAAATAACATCCTATGAGAGGAGTTATGAAATTGGTCAAATTTACCAAAAAGGTGTTTAAGCTGGTGAAATACTGATGAGGGCCATAGCCCGAAGTCATGGTATATATGTTAGCTTTTGTCTGAATTTGTTAAAACTGGTGTTTTGGATCATTCTTTATCATCACCTTTGAGTATTTTTATTGGGCTAATAGTCTTTGATTTCCAGACTTAATTCTGGTCATCTACAGACAATGACTTTCCAGAATGGTTGCAAGGTTTTCACACTATGTACTAAGTGCAGTTCTCAGCCTGCAACCACAAACCACATTGGCTGTATTGGTTCATCCTTTGATGAGCTCTACTCTTCCCTGGCAGACACCATCAAAAATCTCAAGCTTGATACCTTAATATGATTGAGTGGAGATAAGAAAGAAGACTGGGCCAATAAACATTGTGTTCTAATGCATATTTAAGGGGAGAGGTGCCTCTTTTGGTACCTGAATACCTTTCTCCCGCAACTTTATGTTGTATATACATAAATATATACCAGGTTGTCCCAAAATAAGTCGGTGGATGAGAGGGTAACACCCTCGATTCCCGACAGTCATGAACCGGGATTGAATCCTGCGTTAAAATTTGTTTAATATGTGAATAACCTTCACATATTATTCACTGTTTCAATTATCATGAACTAGGTTGCTCTTGCTGAGCGGTACCTATTAATGTGATTTGAACCAGGTTGTCCCAAAAATATAATAAGTCGGTGGATGAGAGGGTAACACCCTCGATTCCCGACAGTCATGAACCGGGATTGAATCCCGCGTTAAAATTTGTTTAATATGTGAATAACCTTCACATATTATTCACTGTTTCAATTATCATGAACTAGGTTGCTCTTGCTGAGCGGTACCTATTAATGTGATTTTGAACCAGGTTGTCCCAAAAGTTTATAAACCCTTGCAAAAAATTGAAATATCAATATTATTCGCCATAATATTATTTCCTGTTATGTATAAAGTAATTGCAATATGTATTATTATGTATTCAGCGTAATAATATTATTTACCAAGTAATAAGAAAAGCATGAACTTTTGGGACAACCTTGTATTTATGTACCAAAGAGACACCTCTACCTTTAAACAGGCATAAAGACAGTGCATTTTTTGTCTATCAACTTAGTAGAAATACTTGAGATGATAAAGAATGAGCCACAAAACCAGTTTGACAAAAATTCAAACAAAAATCTAACATGAATATCATGGTTTAGAAACACAAGGTAATAAGACCAAATCCAAATAAATAAATAGTGTGTGACGTTTTGGTACTCATTCAGTACTTTTGTCTGAAGATGGTAACAACGCTGTTACCGAAACGTCGCACTATTTATTTATTTGGATTTGGTCTTATTACCTTGTGTTTTTAATCTATAATCCAAATTGGGCCTTATCAATCATGGTTTAGAGTCCTCATCAGTAAAGGAGTGGCTTCAATTCTATAACATCCTACGATACATTCTACAAGAAGAGTTATGGAATCAGTCAAATTGGCCAAAAAGGTGTTTGATCTGGTAAATTAGCAAGGCCTATTTCCAGAGTGAGGATTGAATACAACATAAAGTTGCAGGAGGATGATATTCATTTTTTTTTTTTTTGCTTATCCCTAGTACACGTTATACAGACCATGATAATCATGGTGGGTAGTTAGCGACTGCTTTTTTTACTGTAAGCGCACCACATGTCTACACATGTGAAAGCAGTTCGACTTTGCACTTACAAATGTGCCAGAGCCCCGTTTGGTTACTTGCACTTGCTGGTGGGGTTGGACTTTTGCAAGAATCGGGGGCCATTGGAGCATTTTTTTAAATCAGAAAAAAGTGTCCAATGCGGGAATCGAACCCGGGTCGTAGTGGTCGAAAACCAAACGGTTTAACCAGCCTTCCACTGATATTCATGAACCAAAAGAGGCACCTCTCCCTTTAAATATGCACTCAAACAGTGCATTTTGTTTATTACCCCAGTGAAAAATAAAGGTGGTGATAAGAAATACCATCCTCCAGCAACTTGATTCTTTTAAAAATAAAACAATTTCTACTGCCCTTAGTGCAATGGTTTCAAATTTTCATAACAGATGGCGCGCTAATGCATCAAAATATAACTTTATATTATGTATATATATTAATATCAAAAAAGGCATATCCTGACCAGGTTCACATGAGCATTTTTAGATGGCAGAGCTCCATCTAGTGGAACAAAACTAAACATTTATTTAACTTGCTCTGGGATATATGGCCAACCCATATAAATATATATTGTTTTTCAGTAACAGCCTTGCTGTCATCATCAGACAGGAGTATGTTAGATCTCTAGTCTGGTGCTGGGTAGCTTCACTGTTACTGGGGGGGTCGGTGGAAGGCTGGTTAAACCGTTTGGTTTTCGACCACTAGGACCCGGGTTCGATTCCCGCATTGGACACTTTTTTCTGTTAAAAAAAATGCTCCAATGGCCCCCGATTCTTGCAAAAGTCCAACCCCACCAGCGAGTGCAAGTAACCAAACAGGGCTCTGGCATTTGTAAGTGCAAAGTCGAACTGCTTTTCACATGTGTAGACATGTGGTGCGCTTACAGTAAAAGCAGTCGCTAACTACCCACCATGATTATCATGGCCTGTACCACGTGTACTAGGGATAAGCAAAAAAAAAACTGTTACTGGAACATTGCATATACAGTAAAACTCCTCTATAGCAAACTCCATTGGGACTGAACCTTTGGTTCACTATAGCCATGGTTTGTTATAGCCATTTGTTCACTGTTATTATAAAATAAGAATGGGGATTATTTCAGGTTTTTTTTATAAGGGAAGGTTTTCTATATTACCAGGTTCATTTTAGCAGAGTTTTACTGTATTTATTATACCAGGTTTTCTAGGTTTATTATACCAAGTTTTCTCCTGTAGAAGGGTGTCCGTGCCCGAAAGCTAGAGAATAAAAATGTTTTGAAAAGATACTTTTCCCTGGAGACCTGATTAATTTTACTCAATGTAGATTATTGTTATTTGTTTATCTATGCTCCAAATTATCATTTTACAGATTGTTAATGCTGACACTTAGTTGTTCTGTCAACTAGTCTCACTTGTCTATTCCAAAGGCTTTATCCATCTTCCCTATTTTTTGCTAAACACACAAACTAGATCAAATCAGCACCATCCTATAAAGGGTCAGCTAACCCTGTTGTTGTTTCTTATCCTCTTGTGTAAAGATCACACAAATTCCATGAGTTCATGCTCCTCTCTGTTTATGATAAGCAGCGGCCTCTCCCAAAGGTCTTGTTAGGTTGGCTACAATCTACTGATGACAAAGACCTCTGGGATAAAGTTGATATTTAATCTAACTTGACAGGTACGTAGTTATACCACAGAATTATAAGAAATCTAAACTTTTTGATGCCTATGATTCTTTTTGAAATAAAATATTTTTTCTACTGCCCATACTGCAATGATGAAATAATGGGAGGGCCTGTCTTATCAGTGGTGAACCTTCCCAGCAGTTTCGCCAGCTTATCATTGCAGTAAGGGCAATAGAAACTTTTTTTATTTCAAAAAGAATCATAATGCATTAAAAATAGTTTAGATTTCTTATGGCGCATCATATTATAATACCACAGAATTATATGTCTATGGAGAGATGGTATTAGTGTTTCATTTAGCGCTAACATTCTCAGTAGAGGATTAGTAATATCTCTTATTTTCTTTGCATTTTTTGAGTAGTTTTACTGTTGAACCTCATTACAACATTACTCCATATCAAGATTTTATCTTATAACCAAACTCCGCCTTTGCCGGTCCCAAGCCCGGCTAAAAAAGGAGGAGGGTGATCAGTAACAAGCTTGCTAAAAAACCTGGGCTCAGCTGGCCCTGCTGATAGTACCCTGTAAGGGCTCCTGATCCAGGGATACAGGATGAGTCTGTACTCCATGTTAGGAACAGCTGCACATGGCGTCTGTTCCTCATGTTAGAGGTGGCCATTTCTTTTGGAGCTAAGTAGGCTTGCCACTGAGTAGTGTTTCCAGTCTTAATGACAAAGGCAGACGCATTCTACTTTACCCAGTCATGATGGTTGATTCTCAAGTCCTATGCCCTTCGGAAAAGCGAGTTGCTGACAGAGAATATGAAGTATGACACAAAAGGAAAGGCTGTTGCCCTCCTCAACAACCTGGAACATGACCTTGTGGCATGCTTGAGGCTCTTCACTGATCAAAAGAACTTTGACATGGACCAAAAGATAAATCCCCAGAATGATCGCTGGATCTGTAAAAACCCCTCAGAGGTAGCTGTCGTGATGCACAGGAAATTCCCTGCTTCCGTGATGGTCCTTGGCGCTATCAGCAGTGAAAGTGATGTCATGTCTTCCCATTTCTTTGAGAAGGGTCTTAGAATGAACACTGACAACTACATCAATGTCCTGGAGACCGTTGTGAAGCCTTGGATCGACATGGTGGACGCAGGAAGGAAGTATGTCTTTCAATAGGGCTCAGCTCCAGCCCACAGGGCACAAATGACACAGTCGTGGCAGACATTTAACATCCCCAGTCACTGGAGTCCTGATAGTCGGCCCCCTAACTCTCCAGACTGCAACCCCCTCGAGCACTATGTATGGGACATTGTTGAGAGAGAGAGATCACCATCCAGTCTGTCAAGAAAGCAGTTCACACGGTGATGACCCAAATGGACAAGGTCATCGTCACCAAGGCCTGTGCTTCGTTCCGCACTCACCTCGAGACTGTCGTAGCTAATAATGGAAAATACATTCAATAATAAAAAACGATATCCTTTTAAAACTACTACTGTGCCAATTTTAATTATTATTGTTTAATTTTTTTCTAAATATTCCAGTTCAATATTAGTTATTCCCAATATATAACTGATACACCTAGTAGCTTAAGAAGTAGTTTTACTGTAGTCTTATAACTTGGAGCATTTATGCCTGAGTATAGCCAAGCCCAGGGGTCGGAAAACTGGGGCTCGAGAGTCACATGCGGCTCTTTGGATGTGAAGCTGTTTATATAGTTCCATACGTAAATATTATTTATGCAAGTACTATTTATTGTTGGCAAGAAAAAAAATTGTGGCTCTTTAAAAACTTTGAAAGTTTGTAAATTTTAATTTTTGGCTCTTCCGAATCATAAGTTTGCCGAACTCTGGCCTAGCCCAATCACAGCAACACCTTCTCTTCTCCTGTATGATGGAGGACAGTGTCTCCGCAGACCGCAGGACACCAGAGAACATCAGTGGGTTGGGTTATAATACTAAAAAAAAGAAACATTTTCTTGGAGAAAAATTATATGACAATTTTATTACATATATTCTAAAATCTCAACATAAATACATATAAAATTTAGGAATATATTTTTGTAGCTATGATGTATGTTATGTTTTATTCCATGATGCCAAAAATGTGAATAAATATTCTCCAAATTGTTTACATAAATGCGTTTTTATGTTAATAAGTTTTCACTTGAATCTAAACATCTTCATTGGCATTATCTTTGAGAACATTAATTGGATAACGTTAATCTATATCGTTTATCAGGTTGTCAGTATTTTCAAATTCAGGTTCTGTTACTTCTATTTCTGGTTTTACTGTTTCTATTTCTGGTTTTACTGTTTCTATTTCAGGTTCTGTTACTTCTATTTCTGGTTCTGTTACTTCTATTTCTGGTTCTGTTGTTTCTATTTCTGGTTCTGTTACTTCTATTTCAGGTTCTGTTACTTCTATTTCTGGTTCTGTTGTTTCTATTTCTGGTTCTGTTACTTCTATTTCAGGTTCTGTTACTTCTATTTCTGGTTCTGTTGTTTCTATTTCTGGTTCTGTTACTTCTATTTCAGGTTCTGTTACTTCTATTTCTGGTTCTGTTGTTTCTATTTCTGGTTCTTTTACTTCTATTTCTGGTTCTGTTGTCTCTATTACTGGTTCTGTTACTTCTATTTCAGGTTCTGTTACTTCTATTTCTGGTTCTGTTATTTCTATTTCTGGTTCTGTTGTTTCTATTTCTGGCTCTGTTGTTTCTATTTCAGGTTCAGTTGTTTCTATTTCAGGCTCTGTTATTTCAAATTCAGGTTCTGTTGTTTCTAATTCAGGTTCTATTATTTCTTTTTCAGGCTCTGTTATTTCTATTTCAGGTTCTTTTATTTCTTTTTCAGGTTCTGTTATTTCTATTTCAGGCTCTGTTATTTCTTTTTCAGGTTCTGTTATTTCTTTTTCAGGTTCTGTTGTTTCTATTTCTGGTTCTGTTGTTTCTATTTCTGGTTCTGTTGTTTCTATTTCTGGTTCTGTTGTTTCTAATTTAGGTTCTGTTATTTCTAATTTAGGTTCTGTTATTTCTATTTCAGGTTCAGATGTGGTTTCAACTTCGGTTGTGGTTTCAACCTCCGTTGTGGTTTCAGGTTCTGGTGTGGTTTCGACTTCGGTTGTGGTTTCAGGTTCTGGTGTGATTTCAACCTCCGTTGTGGTTTCAGGTTCTGGTGTGGTTTCGACTTCGGTCGTGGTTTCAGGTTCTGGTGTGGTTTCAACCTCCGTTGTGGTTTCAGGTTCTGGTGTGGTTTCCACTCCGGTTGTGGTTTCAGGTTCTAGTGTGGTTTCGACTTCGGTTGTGGTTTCAGGTTCTGGCGTGGTTTCAGGTTCTGGTGTGGTTTCAACTTCGGTTGTGGTTTCAGGTTCTGGTGTGGTTTCAACTTCGGTTGTGGTTTCAGGTTCTGGTGTGGTTTCGACTTCGGTTGTGGTTTCAAGTTCTGGTGTGGTTTCAACCTCCGTTGTGGTTTCAGGTTCTGGTGTGGTTTCAACTTCGGTTGTGGTTTCAGGTTCTGGTGTGGTTTTAACTTCGGTTGTGGTTTCAGGTTCTGGTGTGGTTTCAACTTCAGTTGTGGTTTCAGGTTCTGGTGTAGTTTTAACTTCGGTTGTGGTTTCAGGTTCT